CATCCCAGGACAAGCTCACGGGCGGTGGCTGACAGAGCGAGTCCTTCAGCTTTCTTTATTTCACGCAGTGTTTCTCACAAGGGGCCTTTCATCTCCCATCTCCAGCCCAGGACCTGGCTAATATCTAGAGAAATGTCCGTCTTCACAGCCAGCATGTGAGGAAGTTGTTATCCAGAATCTAGTGAGTGAAAGCTAAGGATGATGCTAAGGCTCCTCCAAGGCCATTGTCTAGGGTAGACTCTTCAGGCCTCATTGTCAGTCATACTAAAATTGAACAAACCCTTGCTTAGACTCAGTCTCACCCCACACCGTCTGCCTCCTCATATCTTAGTATCATGTACGCATTTATTATTCATGAGCCTTCAGTGCCGTCGACAGACTGAATTTTGGCATCCTCAATTCAGCACCATTTGTCATCTTTCCATCATGAAAAAAGAAGGTAAGATCCTTCAATCATCTTGAGGCATCTGCTTTTTCTCTCCTATACAAACATGGGTCTCTGAACACGCAAGTACCACCAAACCACGGATTCAAAATATTTTTTTAAATAAAGTGTACCCTGTTAGCTCCTCAGAGTCAAACCGTCTAGAATTTTAACTTTTTCTCAAAACAAAATGCTCAGTTAATTTTGCAAGCACGGAGGACCTTGATAGTGATCTTCCCACTCTCATATTTTTGGTTGTGAGCCTAGCCTTTAATGTCTGAGTCATCTCTCCACCCCAATGGTGATCTTTCAAGATCACAAAAATATTTGTGCCATCAATGAATCAGCTTTTTGGAACCTAAAGAATTTCCTACATTTTGAAATTAATTTCCACACTCTTTTCATCTTTCTCTTTACTAAGACTTTCACTTCTCTCTCTCTCTTTTTTCTTCACAAGTAAAACTTTTCCAGGTCTGTGGCTTAGCTTGAGAGCATCTGATGATCTGTGATAGATCCTACAGGTGTGGCCCTCAGACTGCTGAGATGCATCACATAGAGTTATGCTACAGGTTCTTAGCATCAAAGTAAGATTCCTATAGCTATGACCCTCTACCCCACATCCTATGACATTGAATGAGCGATAGACGTGGTAACCTGAAAAATCAAAAGTCGGGACCATATTTTACCTCATTGTAAATAATGATTCTTCTTGGAATCATAGGTGTATAAAACAGTTTCAGTAGTTTGGTGTGCTAAGGCTTACTCATGACTTGCTAATGGATGAACATAAATGTGTCTAAATAAATAAGTCCCAAACAGGAGACAGCAGACATCTTGCCGGTTTTTATTGGCTGTCTATATAATTACTTGCATGAAGCTAATTTGGAAACCTATCAGCCGGGGCTTCTTGATTGTAGTAAAGAAGAAATTGTTATTGACATTCTCTATTGCAGAGAGATGGGACTAGATGGTCTCACCTGCAGTTACAAAGTCGGTGATTCTGTGGTTGGTCATCTCTAAAAAGCAAAACAGAAGACAGACAGATGGCATGAGGGATTAACTGAAGTCAAACAAGGATTCAGGAGGACAATTATTGTAGACCTGGTACTATCCACCCCCAGACCATGCAGTGAAAGCAGAACTCTATTTAGAACTAAATGGTAATTTAAAGGGGGGAGGGGACCCTAGCCAGACCAGGGATGACCTAGGGCGTGGAGGATTTTCAGCAGTTCTCTTTCTCAACCCCATGTAGGCTTTGTTGTTTTCTTCTCTCTCGTTAATTTCTTTAAGATAGTTGCAAGAGAACTTTTACTAATCAATATTAATTATCGGCATTTTCTGCTTTAACCGTGCTCAGGGACACAGAGCACTGAGCGTGATCAGAATGGGCTTCATGGCTGCCTTTCCTTATTAGCTGTGCGGCTTTTTGATTAGATGGAGTACTTTGAGTTAGGCTTCCTTTCTTTTAAGATATAAATCATCTTTCCCCGAAGTTCATTTTTTTCTTCAATTATTCATTCGTCAAGTATTTATTGGGAGCCTGTTCTATTTTAAACATCTTTGAAGACCCGGAAATCAGTTGGAGCTGAAGAACTTGTGTGTTCCCCCCCACCCCAACCCCGGTCCTGCTAGATCCTTCTTTAACCATGCTGGTTTTGCTCATCTTCTGATTTAATTTTAGCTCCTTTGGAGATCATTTTGATGGTTTTGAATATACTGAAAACACCAAATGGGTCTTTTACTGGATTTACTATTAAAACTTTCCCTAAATGTACTTTGTTCTTTCTGAACAACGAGGGATATTTTTTTCTTGTATTGTCTAATATTCCTCATGTTTAGATGTATTGTGTGCATTTTGGGTTGGGTGGGCGGGGTCACAGATATAATGCATGTTTCTCCCAGGGCATGAGACACCTGTCTTTCTCCTCAGTAGTAATTCTACTGAAGACGTTACCCACTCTTCTACCCTTTTAGAACATATGAACACATTTGCTCCTCGTCAGCTTCTCTTTAACCCACTTGTTCTAGCATCCAATGTTATCTCATCACACATCCATGTTTGAGTATGTTTTATAATATACAGAACACACTAACACGTACATAATTCATGAATGAGTATGCATTTGTTAAAATAGTCTGGATTTGTGTTCAAATCTCTCTAAATCTCTCTGTCTCTGTCTCTGTCTCTGTCTCTGTCTCTCTCTCTCTCTCTCTGTGTTTTAACTAGTAGTAATTTTTTCCTTTTAGTTCTTAAGATAGGGTGTCTCTAGGTGACCTAGCTGACCACAAGTTCCTGCCTCAGGCCACCAAGGGCCAGGGTTACAGGCATGCATCATCACATGTAATTTTTAACTAATAGTCTTAAATACTCAAATGGTTTAGGCGATATAAATGAACATGAAAGTCAGGCCATCTTCTGTTTATGGGTTATTGGAGCATTACAGACAGGGTTTGTGATCGGAAAATGTTCTTGCTCTAGTCACCCTGACTTATTTCCAATATAATCATGAATATTATTATTTGTAGAAATATACTTTCCATTCTTCTGCTTATCTTATATAGTATCAGGTTAGTGTAAGAAGAAAGAGAAGAGACTTTCAGGAATGTGGTCCTTCCTGTGCAGGGGGTCTACATCCATGATCCAACCAACTGTACATCAAGATGCTATGTAGTTAGAGTGTGTTTCTTGTCCCATTTTTCAAACAATACAAAATAGCATTTTATTTTTTTTACATAGCATGCACGTGGTGTTAGGCATTGTAAAGTGTCCAGAGTTAAATACACAGAAGGACATGTGCAGGCTACATAAAAATATTATGCTATTTTATTTGAGCATCAGCAGACCCATGGGAGGCCTGGATCCAATGCCTACTGTATGAGTGTGGGGACTAGAGAAAGACAAGGAAAATAAAATCCTCAGGATCAAACCCAGGGCGTTGAGCATGGCTGGTAAGTGTTCTGCCACTGAACTCCAGCTCCAACCCCTCATGAATATTTACTTGTTATGTGTTAAACTGAGATCTACAGAAACAGAGGAAGCTAAGCACTGCCTTCCAAGGACAAAGATCCAGTAAGAGACAAAGTAGCTTCCCCCCACAAGACAGAGGGCAGGGCCTTAGTGTGGACTGCATTAGTAACTGATGGTCTTTTCCTTCCTTTGCAAAATGATAATTTCAATAACTTGTTGCAATTTTTTAAACTTTGATTTTTGCTTTCTCAGAAACAGAAATGCATAGCTGTTTTGTCTTTTAAGCAGCCAAAACTTAATTTGTTGTACTTAACAAAAAACAAATCATGTAGTTGGCATTTTCTTTGGGCTACCAACCAGCTCCCAAATAAATACACAGAGACTTATTATGAATTATGAATGCTCAGCCTTGGTTTAGGCTTGTCCTTCTAGCTCTTTTAACTTCATTTAACAATTTAATCTGTTTCTATTCATCTATGTTTTGCCTTGGGGCTTTTTACCTTTCTTTCACTCTGTGTGTCCTACTTTCCTGCTTCCTCCATACCTCTCTGGCTGGCCCCTGACGTCTCCCCCCCCTTTTTTTATTTTTCAAGACAGGGTTTCTCTGTGGCTTTGGAGGCTATCCTGGAACTAGCTCTTGTAGACCAGGCTGGCCTGGAACTCACAGAGATCCGCCTGCCTCTGCCTCCTGAGTACTGGGATTAAAGGCGTGTGCCACCACCGCCCGGCTCCCTGGCGTCTCCCTTTCTTTCCTCTCCCAGCCTAAATTCCTCCTCCTAGTTACTCTCCCTGCCCAGAAGTTCTGCCTATACCTCCTCCTTCACTGTTGGCCATTCAGCTTTTTATTAGATCAGTCAGAGGCCTTAGGCAGAAACACTGTATGTGAGTCCTAACTACCCAGGCTCAGAAGGTCAAACACTGTATGTGAGTCCTAACTACCCAGATTCAGAAGGACAAACACTGTATGTGAGTCCTAACTTCCCAGGCTCAGAAGGTCAAACACTGTATGTGAGTCCTAACTACCCAGGCTCAGAAGGACAAATACTGTATGTGAGTCCTAACTACCCAGGCTCAGAAGGACAAACACTGTATGTGAGTCCTAACTACCCAGGCTCAGAAGGACAAACACTGTATGTGAGGCCTAACTACCCAGATTCAGAAGGACAAACACTATATGTGAGTCCTAGTTTCTAACTGTTAAATGCGCACATCCAGGAGGATGAAAACACGTAACGGCCAGGCATCTGGGAAGTGGCCCATGAGAGTGCAGGAAGAGGCTTTAAGAGAAGCATGGAGAAGACAACAGAACAAAGTGGAAGGGGCCTGGGGGACAAAGGGTACAGAGGGAGAAAGAGCGTGGGGAGATGAGGAAAGAGTGAGAAATGTATGCAAACCCCATGTGAAGGGAACGTGCCGCTTTGTAAGCTAATAAAGAAATGGAGATCCCTCAAGAAAAGGGAAGAGAAAGCAAGCAGGAGGGAAAGGGAAAGGCGTGTCATTGGCGGCCAGAAGGGTACATACACACCAAGAAGTTAGAGTGTGGAGGGCGGATGGCTGGGTATGTTTGCCATGAAGCCTGTCCTTCCCGCCCTGTGCCCTGAATTTCAGAAAGGAGCTCATTGCCAAGCTGGACCAGGCAGAAAAGGAGAAGCAGGACGCTGCTCAGCTGGTTCGGGAGTTCGAGGCGCTGACGGAGGAGAACCGGACGCTGAAGATGGCCCAGTCTCAGTGTGTGGAACAACTGGAAAAGCTCAGAATCCAGTATCAGAAGAGGCAAGGGTCCTCCTAGCGCCAGCTGATGGAATGTGGGCATACGAGGTTGCTGGCTGCTGTGCTATGTGCTGGCCAACGAGATTTGTATCTGAAAAGGGACAGAGAGCAAAATCTACTGCTTCTCTTTATCACCCACATGGCAAATGTCTAGAATGAGTTTAGTGCTGCCTAGCTTCCAGCTTGAGAGAGGGATATTTTATTTTAAGCGAGGTCGTTAATGCAAAGCTATCACCACCAGTGTATATTTTCAGAGATCAGAGTTCTTTTCCAAAGATTTATAGATATATATATATTTCTTATTTAGAAAGATAGGATCATACTGTACATTAGAGTAGAAAATAATAAAAAACAGAATATTGACTGGTCCCACTGAAAACCATGAGTCATAAAACAAGCCGGTAGGATGTTCACTGTAGTTTCATATCCGTGCATTTAAAAATTTTATGACTTTTCATATTTCAAGTCTGCTCAACGACAAACCATAGGAACAACTGAAATTGGTTGAGTCGGACGTAATTCTCCAGTGATTGACTGCCCTAAGAATAAATGGTTGCGTAGCCTAAGTGCTTTCTCATGAAAATGTTAGCAGACATTGCGCCCACACCCAAAGCTCACTGGCCAGTGCTGACTAGCTGTGTTATAAAGAATCAGGGCTGCTGCACTTTCTTTGCTCTGTGTGAGCACACACTGGGTACATTCACCATGGCTGTGTGTGTCTTGGGGATCTGGGCCTGGGGAAAGTGGAAAGAAACTGTTCAGACACTACTTGGTTGAATGTCTGTGGAAGATCAGTGGAGTGACACAGCTCTTGCCGTGTGTGGGGTTTCTGGAAATGTGTTGGATCAGTAGTAACTGACAGGAATGTGCTTGCGAATTCAGGGGTAAAGTGATTTCCCTTCGTACCAGCCGCCACACTTTCCCACCCATTGTCCTGTGTCCGTTTCTATTTACATGACTTCTTTTTCATTAAACATGGATCAAAAGTGCAGCCCTGTGTCGTGCCTCGTTCTTAAGCCCTTTGTGCTAGGAGTTGCCATGGTTAGAATTTATTCTCTGCAGTATGCGTTGAAAAAGAAGTGAAGTCCTTTCCCAGGCAAACATTTAGGGTCCACATCTAAAACATTCCGAGCACTAACACTGACTGTGAGGTGCTAACATGACTGACCATAGATGTAGCAGTGGTTCCCAACCAGGCATGATGCCGATCTAGCGGGTTATTTGACAGTGTCTAGAGACATTTCTTTCCTTTGAAAAGTATGTTTTTTACCTGTGTGTTTGTGTGCATGCATGTGTGTGCGTGTGTGCACATGCATGCACAAGGGCTATGGGCCCATGTGATTGTCAGAGGACAACTCTTGGATCACTTCTCTTTTTCTACCTTGTAGCTCTTTGGGATTGAACCCAGGTCCTCAGGCTTGGCAGCAGTCACCCGCTGAGCCATTTTGCAGCCCCTTTTCTTTGGTCGGCACAATTGGGGTAGAGGACAATACTGGTATGAAGGCCAGAGCCCAAGAATGATACCACACTCAGAGCAGCCATCCCTAAGAAGAGTTATCCTATTCAGTATCATGTCTATGGGAAAAAGAGTGATGCTTACTCATGCTTAACCAATCACTGGGGATCTTGGGCACAGACTGGGTAACCAGGGGCTGATTCATGTGTGGTTCAGAAGCTATGAGGCCTCCTCCCTCCCTCGTACAGCAATGAAGCTTTTCTGTAGGTCTTTACCGCTTTGAAGCCGGAACACCTTTTTTAATATTTTTTTCTTCAATGTCTGAGACTGGAAAACAAGGCTGCCTGCTCATGGAAGTCCTTATGAAGCTTCTCCTCACAGATTGATCGTGGCCTCCAGCCCTGACTGAGGAGGAACGTGAGTCCCCACAGCCCAATGGACAAAAGACCCAACAGCAACACTTTTTGTTGCCTTAATATTTGACCCAAAGCAAAAATAAACAAGCAAGCAAGCAAACAAACAAAACTCTGTGATTCTGTCTCGACGCTGTTTTTGTTTGTTTTGTAGTAACTGTGAAGCTTAGAAGTACTAACAGGAAGGAGATCTTAACAAATGTCCACAGTTCTAGGGCTCCCAGAGGGGCAGGAGAAGAGTGACTCACTAAGCTTCACGCACTGGGTTTGGGCTCAGCCACCCCAGACATCTGTAGGACTCGAGCAGTCGTGACCTAATGCAGAGGACGAGGGGCAGGGAAACAGCTCCTAAGCCCCCACTCTGGCAGGAGGGATAGCAGAGCAGGTAAAACTGTGGGGATGTGTCTTAGTCAGTGTTCTATTGCAGTGAAGAGACAGCGTGGCCACAGCCACACTTATAAAGGAAACCATGTAATCGGGGCTGGCTTACAGTTCAGAGTTAGTCCATTGTCACCATGGCGGGGAGTGTGGCAGCGTGCAGGCAGACGTGGTGCTGGAGAGGAGCTGAGAGCGCTTCACCCAGATTGGCAGGCACAGGAAGAGAGATGCTGGGTCTGACCTGATCATTTGAAACCCTAAAGCCCACCCCCAGTGACACACTTCCTCCAGCAAGATCACACCCCTCCTAATCCCTGTCAAGTAGCACCGCTCTCTAATGACCAAGCATTGAAATCTATGAACCTATGAGGGTTATTCCTATTCAAACCACCGCAGGATGTCACTGGGGTTATGTATGGCCCAGAATCATTGTACAGATAGCACTTGAAACCCTGCTAGTCTCAATGAGAACCTTTACCGAATGTTTCCAAAATATACGTATTTGTTCCTCCGAAGCAAACTCTGCCCTGAATGTATGTGTTTTCAGTAGTTCCAGTTTATTAAAACACGAAATTCTGTGTGCTGTGAGCATATGTGTCTCTTATTGGTTGGTGAATAAAGCTGTTTTGGCCAATGGACAGGCAGGACTTAGCCAGGTGGGAAATCCAAACAGGGATTAAAAAAAAAGAAAAAGGTAATAGGCAGAGTCAGGGAGATGCCATGTTGCTGCTGAGGAAGCAAGAGATCCGGGCATCATCAGTAAGCCAAGACCATGTGGAGATACACAGATTAATAGAGATGGGCTAATAGTTAAGAGAGAGCTAGCCAATAATAAGCCTGAGCAATAGGCTAAACAGTTTAATAGAAGTGTCTGTGTGTTTATTTGGGACTGAAAGGTGGCGGGACTGGGCGGGACAGAAACTACCATCTACAAAGCATCACCTATTTTATTGCATGTCTGAGAAACTTACAAGGCAGAGTTTGTCATTCTTTTGACAACTTCCCACAAACCTTACTTAGCATATTACCTGCCAACCTCAGATCACTGAGAATCTGCCATCTTCCCATTACAAAGCCACAGGGTAGTACTTGCCTGGCACTGAGTGAGACCCCGCCACCAATCCCCAGCAACTCAAAGAGGAAAGGTAGAACAAAAGAACTCCTAACATAGCAATATTGTTAATATTGCAGAACGTCGAAAATCAACTCAGAGGCCTTATTAGTCATAGTGTGAAGGTGATTGCCTTCGAGCTAGCATTAAAGATGAAAACCTCATCATGCCTTCCAATGGCTCTACTAAAGGATCTGCTATCCGTGGGCCATTTAGTTTGTGCAGAAGTGAAAGGAATGTGATCAAACATGGCTAGCGGTCAAGTCTATCCGAACTGGCAGAGCTTGTTTCTCTAAGTCACAGAGGGCTTGGGTACAGTATCAGTTCTGTACAAACAAGGAACAGAATGGACTTGAAATTCAAATACAACTCACTCCCCTGCCCCCAGATCTATTACGTAACAAATACGGCCGCATCAGAGACTGCAAAGCAAAACTAAGGCTCCATAGTTTACACAAAATTCTCTAGATCTGGGATTCAGTTACAAAGACACCGCCCCCACTTCCAATCATGCCATCCACACACACCCATCTCTCTTGCCTCCCATCCCTCCCTCCTCCAACTCATCCCTCTTTCCCCCATCCATTCAGTATTACACATACCTACGCACTTTCAGTCCTCTGGCAGAGAACAGTGGGCGTGGCGGGTGTGGGGGGTCCTGCTGTAAGGATTCAGGCATTATGCTGGCCCGCCCCTCTCACCCGGCAGAATGCACTCAGGCTTACCTTAGTCAGCCCAGGGTTCCAACACTACACAGGTACAAAGGACCCCTTAAAAGAAAGACCCCTGCCCACTTATGCCCGCTCTGTCTCTGTCTCTGTCTCTGTCTCTGTCTCTCTGTCTCTCTCTCTCTCTCTCTCTCTCTCTCTCTCTCTCTCTCTCTCTCTCTCCAGCTCTCTTTTCCTGCTGTCCCCCTGGGGGCAGGCAGGACTTTTCCTGTCTCCCTCTTCTGTCCACTTTCTGTCTCTGCGTCTCTTTACCTCTCTTCTCCTTCCTTCCCCCCTTTCCCTTCCTAATAAAACTCCTCACTTAAGCTCTGTCTGTCTGGTGTGTTTGTCTCTTCACCTACACACCCTTGCCTGCCTTGGAATCCACCAAGGTTCCCCTCTCTTTATCATAGCACCTATTCCTAAGAAATTCTTAGTCTACAAAACTTTTTGATAAGTATTTAGGGAGTCACCAGGCTTGAAGACAAAGCACAGAAGGCATGGTATTATGCCTTCCCTGTCCCTCTCTCCGGGGTCAGTATGCTGCTGGATTGTGAAGAATCAGTGTGGGAGGGGAGCGCCCCACGAGTCGGAACTGATGCCCTTGACAATGGCCAAAGACGTGAGCAGGGCAGAGCCTCCAGCCCTAGGCAGGGCTTCAGGGGACTACAGGCTGCCAGCATCTCATCAGGGACTGAGCCAGAACCACCCGGCAAGCTGCTTCCAGCTCCTGGTTCCTGGGAAGCTCGAGACAGTAAATGCTTGTTGCTTTAAGCCACTGAATTTTGGGGTGATTGATTGAGCAGCAAAAGATAAGGAATATGCCAAGCGGGGTTAAGAGCCAAACAGGAAAAAGATAGCATTTATGAGTGCGCATAAAAAGGGGGTAGGGATGAGATGAGGGATCTTTGATGGCTTGGCAATGAGTAACGAGATAAGATCTGATGGATGAGTAAGAGCTACAGAGGCAGAGAAGCTCCAGACCACAAAAAAAAATCCCCAAACCCCACAGACATGCAAAGGCCCAGCGCTGCGTTAGAGACTGAGGTGGGCAGTGTGGCTGAGGGTGAAGGCGGGAACTAGAAGATGGCAGTAAGTGGCCTGCCTGAGCCACTCACTGCCTGAGAAGCCACTGGTAACTGACGGCTCGCCACAGATGGCTCTCCACCATGTGCGCATGGGCGGCGCCGAAGCGACTCCATGCTTTTTGTTTGTTGGAAGTTGGGAGGGAAGGAAGAACTGGAAGGCATCAAATGGGGGATGGATTTGATCAAACCACATTTCACGTCTGAAGTTCCCAATGCGGGGGAGTTTTTTGTTTGTTTTTGCTTTGCTTGGTCTTAATCCTAACATCAAAGCGGCACTATGCGAGAATTTAAATGTGTTACGTTGCAAAGATAACATGGTCACTGCTAGGGTGGTAGATTTTAAGGGTTTCCTTTTATAATTTGCCTCATTTTAGACTACTTAAAAGGCCATATTTGTACTACATATATTCTGATGGAGGGAGGGATGACAGGCAGAAGACCGAACTGACGTGAATTTTGTAGAGACATTTAACGAGTACACTTTTTTTTTTTTTTTTTTTTTTTTTTTGGTTTTTCGAGACAGGGTTTCTCTGTATTGTTTTGGAGGCTGTCGGTCCAGCCTGGCCTCGAACTCACAGAGATCCGCCTGCCGAGTACACTTCTTAGAAGAGAACAAACCGGCCTTTAACAATACCACACTGCCTAGTAGAGCAACAGACTTGGGTTTGTCTCTGTTGTTTCCATTAGCATGCTACATGTGGACATACCCATAGTCTTGCTGCTCATAAAAATTCCCGCCTTCCCAAATGGGATTCCACCCTACCCCCCCCCACCACCCAGCTGTCATCTTTGCTGTTTCTGAAGAGTGATGATCATCAGAGCCGGGAACACGGACGCC